CAAGGTCATGGAACCGAGAGACAGCAACTGATGTTACGTATGTATAGTCTTAATGGGTTAGTACTTGTGACAATGCATACCACTCTATCTCCCATCCCCACAAATGTTTTGAAATGTTCAAAAATCAGGTGGGTGGGTGGGTGTGGGTGTTTTAAGGATTGTGAATTAGCTTTTTAGAAATTGGATTTTTAAAAACTGGTTTAAGGTGAATAACCTGCCATAAGCATGGGAAGAAAGGCCAGGCTAGAATCAGTGTTCAGATTAATGGGGAATCTGTCAACTGCTTGGTGAAAGAGGAGGAAATTTGTGTCCACGCTGTAGGAAACCAAACCAGAACTTTTCTCTCTCTTGTGTGTGTGTGGGGGGGGGGGTTTCCATCTACATTGCCTGACAAACTGTGCACTCAAGAGAAGGATGGTGCTCCAGATGTTCAGTGCCTATTACTCCATCGTAACTGCTTGCCTTATTAAAATACGGGAAATGCCGTATTAAGCACCTAATGGGGTGGGTGGCCCACATTCCCATTTAAAAGCATGGTGGCAGCCTGCAGATTGTAGATGAGGAGGTTGGGAGACTTCAGTCAAGGTAGTCAGCAGCCCAGCCTGGCCTCATCATGATCTCTGCCACACTTTTGCTTGTTCTTTTTTTTTTTAAGAGTTTCTCCACCCTACTGAAATGGAGCAACTAGGCTGCTCCTCATTCTCTTTGCTTCTGTCTCTTAGCTTGCAGGGAAATGCCTTTGTTACATCCTGCATACCTCTATTATATCCCATGTGTGGTACAGTACTGTAATGAGCTCTATGTAGGGCTGTCTTTGAAAAATGTTGAGAACATCCAGGAACTGCAGCCAGCCTGTTGACCACAGCTAGTTACAGTAAGGACTGAAATTTCTTATGTTACCTTCACTGGCTAGCAGTTGTTTCTAGGATCAGTCCAAAATGCTGGTTCACTAAAGTTCTAACTGACAAGTTATTTCAATGACTGCTTCTCCCCATATGATCTGCCACATTCAAAGATCTTGGGGTGAAGTCTTTCTGTCAGTCCTGCCAGCCTCAGAGGTGTGCCTCAGGAGGATATGAGAAAGAGCCTTTTCACTGGCTGCTCACAGATTGGAAATCCCTCCCGGGGGGAGACCTCTCTATTGCCTTTGAGTCAACAGGGAAAGAGTTTTCAGCTCAAGAAGGAATTTGTGAACTGACTGGCTACCCAGGAAAGGGCTTCAATGGGGAATCCTGTACTTTTTTAATCTTTTGAAATGTGCTTTCAAATAGGGGAAATGTTTTTCTTTTATTAAGCATTTTAATATGCTAATTGTTTAATCGCTTTTTTATAAAAAAAATTGTAATTGTCTTTTTAGCTGCATTTGTCTTTTGCATATTTTATTTATTTATTATTTTCATTCGCATGATGCCTTTCTCCCAATTAGGGGACCCAAGGTGGCTCACAAGTTCTTTAAAAAGCAAAACAATTAAAACTACAATACATTGTAACACTAAAAACAAATAAACATGTAACAGCCTTTTAAAAATTGTTAAAACTGTTAAAAATCCCTTAAATGTATTAAAAACTCATATAAAACAATACGTGTCCAGAATGCAGGATTTAAAACTGCTCAATAAATTAATAGCCTGTCTCAACAAAATCATTTATACCTGTCACCAGAAGACAAAGCGGGAGGGGTTCTCCTTGAGCTATTTTGCTGGAACAAAGACAAGATACAAATAAAATAGAGTAAACAAAAGAATAGATTGCCGGAGGTGGAGAAATCACGAAGGCAGAACTCCAGATATTCTCTCCAATATCTGGCTCCCAAACAAGGCACAGAGCCTCAGAAGGGCTTGATGTCAAACTCCGCGCCTCTCCTGTAAAGTTAATCTATCTGTTCTCCACAGCATGGAAATGCACATATTTTCTGATTCCAGCTCCCAGAATCCTCTGTGCAAGCTGTGCTGCACACACTGCTCCCCCAAATCAAATACATTGCTGTCAAGAACTGCTGTATTCACCATCGTATGGAAGCATTTCAGTGGCCCAGCGCCTTCCATGGTCTAAAATTCAGACAAAAATAATTAAGGATGCAAAGCGATCCCAAGGCCTACCTGAATCATCAAATGCACAGAAAATGGCTGGCATTTCAACAAAAGGTTGTCCTATTTTGCTTTTTAGTTGAAATCAAAGTGGATTAAACTTTAATGGCTTTACATGGATTAAAAAGATGTGCAGATTAAGCATTATATAACCAGAATGCTCTGTATCCAGTGGCAGGACATTATCCAGCATATCTACTTGTCAAACAACAAATCAAAAGTACGAAATACAAAGTCAGTTTATTTGCACGAAAGACGCAAGAAAATAGCAGGTGTGAGCAAAAGGAAGCATTTAGTGAGGACAAAGTCATGGTTCTGAGCTACTGTTCTGACCCAATTAACAAATTTCCCAGGATTGGCACAAGTAGACAGTAAATGCTCAAAAATTCACTTCAGGGTTTTTACATCACAATAGACCTTCTAAATACACTTAAAGTAAATGACAAAGTATTCACTACTCTGCTGCAAGGTGGTTAACAGATTTGTTGCAAGCACAATGTACTAATATTAACATAATTCCTGTCCAAGAGAGCAAGCAGTGGGCATGATGGACTGAAATTATTGAGTCTTTTACTGAGACCTGGATGGAAGAACTGGGTAGGGGCTCCAGTTCTCAGCACTGCTCACCTGGATACCTGATCTAGCATCAGCCTAGACTGGAGAGATGGGTGTGGGGGAGAGGAATTGGCAACAGCCCTAAGGACTCCATCTCTCATACACGGAAGCTTATCTACCCCCTGGCACCAGTTTTGAGAGCCCGTACTTAGTGCTGTGCCAAAAAGACAGAACAGGGTTGCTGTTGGTGTACCCTCTACCCTGCTACCCAGCAGCTTCTCTGCTGGAGGTCATCTCAGGGGTGGTGTTAGTTAACTCCAGGACTATTGCTCTAGGGGATTTCAACTTTCATTCTGAGAATGTCCTGACAGGTCCTGTTCTGTATTTCATAGTCACCATGGCAACCATGGAAATGTCTTAACACATCCTTGGCCCAATATATGTGGCAGGCCATTCTGAATCTGGATTATGCCACCAGAAGAATGAAGGATGATCTTGTTTTGTTTGGTTGTTTTTGTCAGGGAGAGGTTCCTATAACCCTATTGTCATGGTCCGATCATTTCCTTGTGAAGTTTGGTTTGATGGCAGCAGATTCTCCATTGGCAGGTAAAAGGTAAAGGTTCCCCTTGACAATTTTTGTCCAGTCGTGTTCGACTCTAGGGGGTGGTGCTCATCCCCGTTTCCAAGCCATAGAGCCAGCGTTTATCCGAAGACAATCTTCCGCGGTCACATGGCCAGTGCGACTTGGACACGGAACGCTGTTACCTTCCCACCAAAGTGGTCCCTAATTATCTACTTGCATTTGCATGCTTTCGAACCGCTAGGTTGGCGGGAGCTGGGACAAGCGACGGGAGCTCACTCTGTCACGTGGATTCGATCTTACGACTGCCTGGTCTTCTGACCCTGCAGCACAGGCTTCTGTGGTTTAGCCCACAGTGCCACCATGTCCCATTGGCAGAGGACCCAATAAAAAGTTACACCTTCACAGACTTATGGAATCCAAAGGACTCTTGAATGTTCTAGGGGAGATTCTGGCTGACAGGGCTAGTAATTCAGTCGAGGTCTTGGTCTCACTGTGGAATGGTGATATGGAAGGGGTAGTTGATACAGTTGCTCTCAAGAGTGGTGTAGTGGAGCCTATAATTCCCTTGGTTTATCAAAGACTGGTGGATGACTAAACAAACCGGATAACAGCTAGAGTTCAAGTGGCACAGGTCTCGAAGCAACTATGATTAGCCTTCTAATTGTTTTACTTGCCAATGCTTTTTCATCTTGCCCCTGCCACCCAGCATAATTGTTCTGAGTGGTTACAAGCTGACTTGGGATTGGACCCAGAAAGGCTAGAAGCAGAACCCTAAGTCACCAGCTGTTAGAAATTTGGTAGGCACTTAAAAGAGACAGTCACTTGGAACTGGATGTCACAAATGTTACAGTACTTAGGGATGTGTCTAGACTAGAGCATAGTCTAGGCAGGTTTGGGGGATCCGTTTCAGCAGCAGTGGCTTGTTGATGTGGACAATAAGTTTGAATCGGCCCATCTCACCATGCGTATGCTTGACCCTTGCCATTGTGGTTGACAAGATCTAGCAAGGGTGGGTTGAATGGTGGGTCCAGGAGGTAACAAATGCCTCATTATGGCAGGTGATGGTTATTTCTGTTTTGAAATAGGTGGTGGTGCCCTCTCTCCCAAAGAGGACTTATCTGGACCCAGAAGTATGTGACAATTATTTCCCCATGGCAAATATTTGATTTTTGGGCAAGGTGGTGAATGGGGAGCTTCGCATGTTCTTGGAAGAAACTTCAGCCTAGTTTCAGACCAGAGTTTGGTATCAAAGTGGCCTTAGCTGCCTTGACTGATTACCTGCTCCAGGCTAAAGACTAGTTCCAAAGGGTGATATTGGGGTACTTTTGCACAGCCCCACGGTGATTAAGCAGTGGGATGTCACAGGATTATATTCTATCCCCCATGCTCTATAAAGTTGCTGGGAGAGATCGTTAGAAATGTTGGGTTTGGGTGCCTGTAAGAAAGGGTGCAGGAAGTGAGACACTTCCCACCCATGTGCCTTGTTTGCTACCCTGGAAAAAGAAAGGACAACAGGAGATGAGTGTGTCCAAGCCAGGAGGGGGATGAGGGAGAGACGATCCAGAAATAAGAGGGGGGAAGGAGAGGGAAGGAGGAGAAAATAAAATATATGAAAGGGAGACAGAGGATAAAAAGGGGCAGAGGAAGTGGGAAGGTCAGAGAGCAAAAAAGGAATGGGAAGAACTTTTCCCTGAAGGGTGGGAGAGGATCGTGCTGCTGCTGGACAGGGAGAGACTGAAAATGCCTGAAGAAGCCAAGAGGAGAAATGCTCAGCACCCGCACCCCCTAGTGAAACTCTCATATGAAGGGAAAGGGAAGAGAGGAGGAGGCCAGGGCAACAATGAGCCCAACAAAGCAGAGGGAGAAACCCACAAGAGACTCAATGGAACTCTCCCCCTCCCCCACAGGAGAAAACCCCAAGGCTGGGAAACACGAGAAGGGGAGTGGCAGGAAAAAGAGCCTGACCCACTGCTGCAAGTGCCACTGCAACCAGAACCCCCGCAAGGGTGGAAAGAAGGGATGGTAGCCTGGATGGAGGAAAATGGGGAGATGTTTCATGGAATCCTTTCCTCTCTCTTTTGGAGAGGGGAGTCAAGCTGTCTACTGAAGCTGTTATGAAAGACCCCACTGGGTGATCGTTTATATTAACAGTTTAAAGCAAGAACATGACTCCACATGGGTCTCTTTGGGGGAAGCAGTGGGGATGGGGGGGGCGCAATCATGAACCCTCACAGCTCTACTTCCCCTTACCATCGGGATTCAGCTGAGGCTGTGCATGTGCTCTAGACACATCCCTATTTGGGGGTCCTCCTTGATTCATCTTTTTTTTTATTGCCATCTTGACTCCAAATCAAATGAAGATAAATAACCTTTATTTGACGTTCCTTTTAAAACCTTTGCTTTATTGCAGCCCTTTCTGCAAGGTGCTACTACTTTGCTCTTTTGTGAGTAGCCATGGCAGACTTCACAAGGCACCTCTGTACTGAACCCCACCAAATGTCAGGAGGGTACTCCCCCCCATATTATTGCGTCTTTCCCATGCCCTCTCCATTTCACTATTTCCATTAATTCCCTTTCCCCTTAACTCGATGCCTTGATTTCCCCAAGCACTTGATGAGGTAGTGGTCTAGGCATGGAATAGGATGTTTTCCAAAATCATTTCACAGCATGCCCAAGGATATGAGGCTCGACTAGGCTCCAGTTCAGTGGAGCTTTTATGTGCCGGAGATTCAGTTCAGAGAAGTTTGCCTTCTCCAGCTCCTTCCAAGTCTCTCTTTCCAGGGAACACCCATCAGCCACAGATTTCCAAGTGGGAGTGCAGACCTGCTGCCAGAAGTAGGTCCAGCTGGATCGGTGAGCAGCCACATGCTCCATGAAATAGAATGCGCCACCCTGTAAAGATATGAGTCATATGAAAGAAAGTCGGGAGCTGAATGCCTCCCACCCCTGTGGTCCCAAAGGCTTTCCCACTATCAATAGTGGCAGGAAAGCAGCAGTCTCTGACGCTTCAGGATTTCTGGGAAGTGAGAAGCACCCCTTGCTTTCCATTGTGGCCCATCTATCTGTGCTCCCACCATCAATGGCAATAAAGCACCAAACAAGGCACTTTCAGGGTTGCTGGTAGTTTTCCTTCTGCAGCAGTGAAGGAGGCCTTTGAGTCACGATGGTGCTACTGTGTTTTTGGTTTTTGTGGTGTGTGTTTTTTCAGCAATGGGTTCTTGAGAGGGGGCACAGAGCAAAGCTTGGAAGGCTACTTCCAACTCACTCTTGATAGCTGTTTAAACTATCTGTCAGATATACTCTGCTCTGGATTCCTGCACTGAACAGGAGATTAGATTGGATGGCCCTTTAGATTCCTTCCAACTCCATTATTCTGTGGTTCTGTATCCTTCCTTGAGGTAATAAGACATTTCATCTTCTGATGATGTCAGCTGCAGCCCATAAAAGCTTGTGCAATAAAAAAAAATGTCTTGGCCTTTAAGAGGCCCACAAGACTCTGTATCGTTTATGCAGGAACAAAGTAACAATTATTATTCATTTGGAAGGTCTTCCATTAATTTAAGCCTAAGAACATGTGTGGACAAGTTCTGGCCAAATCACATTTCCTAGAACCGGGGTGAATGATCTCAGCAGAAAGCAGAGCTATTTTTCAGATTTGCTGATAGCCTGAGGATTTCCGCTCCCAAACTGGTTGTGGCTGAAGAGGCTAATTTGTATTTTTTTAAAATAA